GCGGCTATATATACCGCTCTTCTTCATTAGCATTTAGACGTAATTCTAAAACTACGTTCTGCCCGGTGTGGTAAGTTGAAGTAAAAATCGATAGGAAATGAAGTTTAACTCAAAATTTAAGCTGTTAATAAAATTAACATAATCCTTACAACGTGTTGAAAGAACCCCCTCCCTCCGGCTTCTAGTTTCATTCCAATATTCAACCAGAGGTTTTATAGCTTTGTTGGACTGAGATTCCATAGCTGTTGCCACTAGCACTTTCCTCTTGATAACTTTGCACATGTCACTAAATGAAACAAGCTGGCTGCACATATCAAGAGCGGATTTAGCTGCGATGTCGACCAGCTCGTTTCCTTTTATCCCCATGTGTCCGGGTACCCAACAGTACAAAATCTGATATCCTCGCCTGCACAAGTTTAAGTTTAGCTTAAGAACGTCCACAGTTATTGGGTTGTGGGTGTCTGAATATGATTCTAAGGCTTTTAGCGCACTATAAGAGTCAGTGTAGATAATGAACTGTGTTTAACGCATTTAACTTTTTCTGCCGCAGGTAGATATATAAAATAGAGAATAATACAAGGATGTTAATTTGAAGGTTAGCATTGAGCAAGCCTTATGCAAGAATCTACCCTCCGTGTAATTTCCTATCACAAGGGAAGCTCCGACATGATTGGCTGCTTTTGAACTGTCTGTGTACATTCGCGGTATAACTGTTGTATTTTTGCCTGTGCTCAAGGAAAAGCTGATTGTAGATGATATCGTTAGTATTTACTTTCCTGAATTGGTGAAAAACATTAAGGAGTTGTATTTGTGAATTCTTCCAAGGCGGGATATCAAAGTGCTTTACAGATTGAGCATTTATATCGGATAACCCATACTCATCAATGAGTGATCGGACTCTTATGAAAAAATAAGGCTCGCAGGATGACCGTGCTTCAAATAGGCGATCAAACATGTGATTTTGCAAAGTGATCTCAGCAGGATGTCCTGAATATGATTGTATATTGAAATAATGACAGAGACAATTATCGCGCCTTAGACGGAGGCATGGTTCAAAATTGTCCACAAACAGACTTTCTAAAGGAGATCATGTCCTTAAAGCCTGGTGATGAATAGGATCTAGTTTCAATAACACAGAAGGTCGTGCTGAGCAGTAAACCACTGAGCCGTAGTCCAATTTAGTACGGATGAGACTCCTGTAAATATCTAGCATAGCGCAACGATCTGCACCTCAAGAGGTATTTGCCAAGACTTTAAGAAGATTTAATGCTTTAAAGCATTTATTCCTCAAATATAGTACATGGGGGATAAAGATCAGTTTACGATTGAATACCATTCCTAGGAATTTTACTTCTGAATGAACAGGAATCAATGACCCATCAATATACAGTTCAGGCTCAGGATGCACATTCCGCTTTCTGCAGAAATGTACGCAAACGTTCTTCTGGTTTGAGAAAGTGAATCCATGTTGATTTGACCAGCTCATGATTCTATTAATTGCAATCTGCAACTGTCTCTCTATATGCCTCATGTCCGCTCCTTGACAACTTATTTGGAGGTCATCGACATACAATGTACCAGAAACAAAAGGGGAAGTTCTTTTAAAACAGAATTTATTTTTAAGCTAAATAATGTTCCACTTAAAACACTACCTTTAGGAGCTCCTTCTTCCAGGTAAAAGACCTTGAGCAACACAGAAGCATGTCTCACTTGGAAAGTTCCAGCCTTCAAAAAATTAAATATGAAAATTGGCATGTTACCACGCAAGCCACAATCATAGAGATCCCGAAGAATTCCATATCTCTAGGTCCTGCCAATATGCCTTCTCCATATAAAAAAATATTGAAACTGAGTGGATTTTTTTTACAAAGGCTTCGCAAATGCTGTTGACCTGTCCTTTCGGAAACCACGCTGATAGGCGGAGATTATACTATTTTTCTCCAGATAGTAGACAAGGCGGTAATTTACCATTTTCTCAAATAATTTGCAAATGCAACTTGTAAGTGCGATCGGCCGGTAGTGTGAGGGATTTCTTGGATCCTTACCTGGCTTAGCAATAGGTATAATGATAGCCTTCTTCCATGTACTGGGGATGATGTTCTCTTTCCACACTCTATTGAACAGACCAAGATGGACATTCAATGAATTATAGGAAAGATGCTTTATCATGTCATAAGTAATTGCATCAGGACCTGGACTAGACCTGTGTGTTTTCATGAGGGCTCTTTTTAGCTCAAACATAGTAAAATCCAATTGTACGAGTATGACTTGGATTTGGGAGAATTGAACACAATTGGAAGTTTCTCGGAGCGTAGCTTGATAGAAAGAAATGCTCGTGGATACCTGTTGCTGCCAGAGACTGCAGGAAAACTCTCACCAATTGTATTTGCAATTTTTTCTATGTTGCTTATCACTCTGCCATCGTTTTTCCAAAATGTAAAGTGAGTGGTTATTGTACATTCCGGTTGCTTTCCTTACTCTGTCCCACACTCGTTTATTTGATGTATAGGATGTGATTGTTGACACATAGGATATCCAAGAATCCCTCTGGCATTGCCTTTTAACTCTTCTTGCATTTGCTTTGGCTTTTTTGAAAGCTATTAGATTGGACAATGTAGGATACCGGCAAAACTTTCCCCAAGCTCTTCTTTGCAGTCTTAGTGTCTCTTGGCCCTGTCGGTTTCACCGTGGTTTGGCATATTTTTGTAATCTCGTTGAAGATACAGGAATAGAGCCTTTTTCTGACTGAATAATGACCTCGGTAACAGTTTCCATTGCATTATCTATAGGTAAGTCCCTCACCATTTCATCTGAGAGCTCAAAAGGAAAACGATCCCATTTCGCTTTCTCCAGAATGAAGCGTGCAGGTCTAGATATAGGGTTTACCTCTTTATCTGCAAAGGTTATAAAAATTGGAAAATGGTCACTGTCGTGTAGATCATTTCTGACATTAAACTTGCAAAATGGAAGCAGAGATGTTGAACAAATAGCGAGGTCAATGCTGTGAAAGGTCCTCGTAGGCTGTTGGAAGTATGTATGCTCTCCGTTATTAAGGAGACAAAGAGAATTGTCATTGATCATTTTTTCAATTTGCCTACCACGTGGGTTTCTGTCTTTACTTCCCCAAAGAGGATTGTGACCGTTGAAATCTTCAATAAGAATGAAAGGAACAGTTCGCTCATCAATTAAATTATTTAAGTCCTGCTGCTGAATGTGTTCTCTGGAAGGCAGGTATATCGAACACACTGAAATTAACCTTCGTGTACTACCCTGCATAGCAACATCTTGGAGGGAAGTTGAAAGAGAGAGAATGCTTGAAGGATAATCAAGCGAGGTGAGTAGACCTATGCCTCCGCTAACACGTTCATTAACTGGCTGATCTTTTCTGACAAAACAATATTTCTGAAGCTTCAGCAGTTGTTCAGGTTTCACAAAGGTTTTCTGAGCTGCAAAGCAGATAGGATGATGTGGGCTAATTAGTTCTTGTATATGAAAATTTTTTTGAAGCCATGACAGTTCCAAGAGATAATGGTGGCCATTATGACTGCTTATTTCGTCTGTGTTGCTTTTTTTGTCAGACGTGGGAGAAGATGTCTTGGAATTTCCATTCCGCCCTCCACGTGCATCTCGAAATCTATGCCTTCAGAGCTTAAGTTTTCAGTAGAGATGATGCTCTGGTTTGTTGGTTTTGTATTTGGTTTATTTTCAGATTTTTGTGATGTTTTCGTATTTATTGTTTCTTTAGTATCTTTTATGTTCTTAAGAATTATCATAATTTTGGTGTCTCTACCAGGGGAGCTTGTTTCTGCATAGTCATATCTGTTGGGTGCCTATTGATTTAGTGCTTTTAACAGCTTTGGCGTATGACATATTTCGTTCCAGCTGCATGCTTGACACTATTTTTCTAGCTTCTGGATAAGTAATATTTTGCGTTACCTTGACAACCTGAACTTGCTTCTCAGCTTTCCACTTTTCGCAGGATCTAGAAATTTCGGTGTGGTTTCCCTTGCACTTAACACACAGTGGCTCAGAAATGCAGTTTTCACTGTCGTCGCCCTCTACAGAACATCGAGCACATGTAGGACGACCACGACAGGAAAACTCCGAATGGCCAAAACGCTGGCACTGGTAACATCGCATTGGGTTTGGAATATAAGGTCTTACAGGACACCATAAGTAACCGGCCTTTATATTCTTTGGCAAATCAGGAGTCTTAAAGGTCAGGATGACGTCCTTTTTCAATCAGCTGATCTTTTTTACGCATCTTGATTCGCTTAGCAGCACACACATTCTGATGCGGGAGTTTAGAGACAAATTCTTTATCCGAGACGGAAAGAAGATCACTCTTTGAAATCACTCCTTGGCAGTGATTCAGTGTCTTATACGCTGAGGCACAGACTTCCACACTCCCAAGTTTGGTTTAAGCAAAGAAGAGCTGTAGATTGGAAGAAGCAGTTTCAATTAAAAGGTCTCCAGAACGCAGTGGTTTTACGTTTTTTGGTTGTCCTGCATATGACTATATGTATTTTTGATTCAGAAATGGTGATATATTTTTAAGCTGTCCAGTAGAGTTGTTTATGACTATAAAACGAGGTTGACTATTAGGTAAACTAACATTAGCATTTTCACTAGTTTTCTCTTTTTAAATGCATAATTATGTTCATCTGAAGTGCTTAAATTTGATTGAGCCATATTTGAAAGAGAAAAGATTCGAGTCCGACAGCCCCGTCCACCACGAAGCCCAATAAGGGAACACAGATTCCTGCGTTAGGGCTAGCCAAACCTATACACATTATGAAGCCCCCAAAGTCAGCTCTCCCGAAAGCTTATCCCCAAGCCACGTCCTTGAGGACAAGCGACCAGCCGATTGACACTAGCGGGGACAACTAAGTGCCTCCCGTTTCAATCCGAAGCCAAAGCACTGTGTTCGGGACAGTACCTCGCCCCATTCAATCAGTAAGATTTTAGAAAAAGTAATTCTGCAACGCCTTAATTTCCACATGTGCAGGAACAAGACTATAAACGAAAAACAATATGGCTTCTGCGCAGGAAGGTCCACAGACAATGCCTTAAAACAACTGCTAGATAACATAGAGCAGAACAAAGACATCAATTTGGACACACTGGGTATTTCGTTGGACATCAAAGGGACATTCGACTCGTTGTGGTGGCTAGACATAGTCGAATGCCTAGACATCATCAAATGCCCAAAGGAAATCCTGAATCTTATACGCAGCTACTTGCAGGATCGTTGGATACAGGTTACAACGGACAATTATGCACTCAAACTCAAGTTGGAAAGATGTTCCCTAAAGAGGAACCCTGGAGTTCCCAAGAAGGAACCCCAGGGTTCCTGCTTGGGACCTACACTTTGGAATCTTGTAAGGAACACAGCTTTTGCGCTCTATGACCAACAGCAAGGAGTGGGTATCCAGGCGTACGCAGACGACTTTTTATTGGTCATTTCTGGTAGCACGGACATTAGGTTAAAGGCACAAAACGCAATCAATACTTTTGCAAGCTGGGCAAATCAGCACAAATTAAATAGCTCAGCAGATAAAACTAGACAACTGTTTATATGTAGGCATGGAGAGCGAAATAGGATTCCCAACATTAAGCTAAATGGAGTCTCTATAAAAAGGTCACTGACCTTAAATATCTAGGTATTATATTTAACAATAGGCTTTCCTGGGTACTACATATTAAAGAGCTTAAACAGAAAATAAATCAACTTGGTTAGAACATCAGGACCTCATAGGGGCACTCCAATCACTATGCTCAAAAGCTGGTACAGAACAATCTCAGAAAAGATCATATCATATGGGGCTGCCATATGGGGAAGGAAGCTTTTCACCATACAAAGAATGCAATTTTTGATCATATGCAAAGGTTATAGAACATCCCCAACTGCGGCACTGCAAGTACTAGCGGGTATCCCTCCACTGGACCTTCTAGTGGAGAGAGAATCACTATTAGTATGGACATTGCGCCTAGAAAATAACGTAACGTGGAAAACGACATTCTACCGTACAGACTATGAGAAGCGCAAGCCGATCATGCTTGGACACCCTGCAGATACTGATTTATCGCACACAATATACATGCAATACACGCCGCCAAATGAGAAGGCATTTGCTATTTATACAGATGGCACAAAGACGGAGAAAGGCACAGGCTGCGCCTACTGTGTACTCCAAGAAGGAGAAACGGTTAAAACTTGGGAAAGACGACTGCAGACAAAAATACCGTCTTTCAGGCAGAGCTTCTTGGATTAAAAGCAGCCATCAATTTGGCATAATATCAATTAGGACTAAAGGTCAACATATATAGCGACTCTGCCTCAAGTTTGGAGTCCATCCGAGGGCACAAGACAAGGCGTCCTTTAGTGCAAGATATTCAGAAAATTCTTCTAAGTATCCCACCAGATAACATACCTATCCTGATCTGGGTTCCAGCTCATGTGGGTATTACTGGCAACGAAGCGGCGGACTTGCTTGCGAAATCTGCTGCCAATGACTCCAGTAGATTGGAAAACGCAGTAAGTGTTCCGCAGTCCTATTTAAAAAAATAACGCTCGATTGTCTTTTACAAGAATGGCAGAAAAGATGGGAAAGGGAAAGCACAGGGAGGAGAACCTACAAGTTTTTTCCAAAAGTCACGTGCTCAGTTAATACATACAGCGGAGCACAAACTCAATTCTACACTGGCCATGGTCCTTCCCACATTATCTTAAGAGATTCGGCATACGAGCATCAGAATTGTGTGAATGTGGTGCGGTAGGTGATGCAGATCGCTTCCTCTTCAACTGCCCACAAACCGATAAACTGCATTTAAAAATGCCAAGCAGTGAATACTGGCCGCAATAGGCGGAGAATACCTGCGGCAACAAGCAGACGAAAACTAAAATAGAGGAGGTAATCAGGCTGTGCTCAGCAAAGTACTAAGAAATTCTCCCCCTTCCTTGAGAATTGTATCCTCGCAGTATAATTTTAATAGCAATTCAAAATACAACAACAACTGTAAATCAACACTAGAAAAATAGCTCACCCCGTAGAATAATAAGAGAGCAAAACTATTGTAATGTAAGCATATTATTATCCAATTTGTATGTACTTGATAAAAATAATATTGCAAAGCAGTTTAAATGATATTGAAGATCCAGTCAATGTGTAAATGAATTACAAGTTTAATTATATTATCTCAGTAAAAGTATTGTAAAATATGAATTCATATAATGTTTAAATGTACACATAGCTGTCCTGATTTTATGTATCTATCATATGTAACTTGTACAAGACAATGATTGTAGTCAACATATCTGTGCTTATACACAGACCTTGTATGCCCATGTATATTTATACGTATATTTTTACACGGAGGAAATATTCCCTTCTGCAGAATGACTATTAACACTGTAAGACTTTTACAACAAAGTCAGGTCAGTGGTTATCTCAGGCGGCGCTCAGTACCTCGCCCCTCAACTACCAGGACCCTTCTTTCCAGCCTTACGGGTCACAACGTACGGCAAACGCGTAAGTGGTTTTCTCACTGTGAGAAACTAGAAACAAAGAGATGTATTAGAATTTCACTTTGAGCTCAAACCTCCGATAAAAGGAAAACCACAAGGGTAGAAGGAAAGAAATTAGCACAGATAAGGAGAGATAAAAAAAAAAGAAAGGAGGAAAGATCACTAGGGCTCCAGGATCGTGACCCCCGTCTCCCCAAGAAGACCATCCCCTGAAGGGCTAGGGTACCTCGGGATTGCCCCACCCGTACTCACAAAAGTGAGAATTTTTTCCTAGAAAAGCTTCTATTCTGTTCGTTAAAATTAGCATCAATTGTAAGTTGTTGCTCATAATTCATTGTCTTTCGATTGTTTTAAGTTTCCTAAATTTCGCAAAATAAAATTTATTTCTAAACATTCTAATAATCTGAAACAAAGCACTTTTTGTATGAAATATTCACTCTTTTCAGCTGCTAATTGCAACAAAGAAAAAAATTCAATACAAATATGAGACCAAATAAAGAAGGAAATATTGAAATTAATAATTTAAGGAATAAGTGATATCGTTAATAGTTACATATAGGTTATGAAATCCATTTGGAAACAAAATGAATATCTTTGAAGCTAAAATAAAGAAATAAAAAAGAGTTTTCATTTGAAAGGCACATCATAATATTTTTTCATTTCGTGTATTTAAAAGCAAATACGAAAAATATATAGTTGTGAATCATGACATTCTCAAAAGGATTATCTAAGTAAAAAAAAATCAGGGCTGTTTAAAAGGAATAAAAAGAGGCATTTGGCACTTCAGCATCAAGATTTCATATAGTATTTTTATTTTTTTGCAGCACGGTATCCATTTCACTTTAGCAACGGAGCATAGTTAAAGTGAATGTGACTGCTCCATCATTCAAAACTGCTTGTGTCAATCCATGGTGGAGGAACTTCTAATCACTCCGAAGCAAACGTTTGAGTGGATTTATCACAACGTAAAATGTAACCTCAAATACCAATATAAATTACATATGTAATAATAAATCCATTTGTAAATTTCAGGCCCATCATTACAAAGACTCAAACCTGTAATGGAATATGACGATCTAATATTTAAAATTTTGTATTTCACATATTTACTAAACTAATTTCTAATCCATAGCTTTCTCTCAGAACAAATGACACAAAGCATTCGGATAAATGCTTTATTGTAGCTCGAACGTAATAAACTACTCAATAAATTTGGATGTCTTGAAAAGCAAATAATGGAAACAAAAGCCATGAATACTTTTTTTTTTTATTCTGGAGGTTTGAAATCTTTTTTCAACTAATTTATATTTATGTGCAATTTTAATGAAATAACGATAATTGTAATATTACGCGAGTCTACCAAAAATTCGAATCCAAATAGTAAATAAAAAAATTTCATAAATGTTAAAAAGATCTTTCACTTTTATTTTAATAGGAGAGATAATTTAATCTTTGAACCTTTGAATATACTGAATATCACATGTTTTTTGTTTTGCAGGAGCTTGTGTATGCGCTGAAGGTATTCAACTACTTTTTTACTGCTGTCTTCATTCTTGAAGCAGCAATGAAAATTGTTGCCTTAGGATTGCGCAGATATCTTTCAGATCGGTAAGCCCCGCTTTCGTTCCTTTTAGGAAGACTATTGCAAATTTATAAATTTATCCAGTGAAATGTTAGTTTTTAAGCATTTTTATAATTTTATGCATTGTTTTTATTCTGTTATTTATTTATTTGGCTCATTTTGTGTAATAGAGTTTTGCATTACACTGCAAATCTTAGGATTCTGAATATATGGACGATTGAATTATAAATATATCTCATTTTGAACTGAAATATAGGAAGAAACTCTGCTGATATTTTGTAAACTATCAAAATGCACCTGTTTGCAGTTCTATATTCGAATTTTATTGGAGACGATATTCATCCTATCTTTGTTCTTTCCGTTAAGATATTTCTTAAAAATAAACTCGTATGAGTTATATTTATTTTGTGAGGTTCCTTTAATTTGAATACCCGCTATTTTCTATAAAATTTCAGTTTCTTCCTGCTCGTCTGGCATGGTTATTATAAAAGCGTTATGAGCCAGTAACCGCGCAACAATATCTTTGTTTTGTTAACGTCAAACACATATTATCAAATGAAAATGCTTAAAATGGACAAACTGATTGAACATACTTTAAATGTTATAACGAGAAAGGGTTTCATTAGTAGAATGAAGTAACACAGTATACAAGAAACTTGTATAGATGTTCATTCTACTCATGGAATTCTTTATTCTTTTGTATAATAGCAAGTAATGTGTTTTTGTGTTCAGATCACATCTGAGTAATAGTTTACTTCATTTATCAAAGGGTTAATACAAACCTTTTTATTCCTTTATTTTTTACATTTATTCGTCAATTACTATACTGTGCTACTATTTAAGTTACATTCCCTAATTAGAATAAAGAAGAAATGAAATGATTTTACAATGGGAATTTCAGTAAAATTATCACAGAAATCCAAAGCTCTGCGAAGAAATTAGGGAAAGATTTCTTCTTGGCGACAAAATCTTCCTTCTGTAATTTGTTGCGAGTAAATCTAAAAGAAAGAGTGAGATATAGTAATTACTTAATTGTAAGGCATTACCTGTGATTCTTAGCAAATTATTCATTAATTCGTCTGGTGTCTTTTTGATGTAAATTGTGATTTCTTTTCACTTGTGTGCGACAGAAAGATCAGATAACATTGATTCATTAGTTATCTTTCTTGTGCTTTTGACCATTTGCTTTGTGGATCATTAGGACTAGTACTTAAGTTTTTAGAATCTTATGATACCAGAATCGGCAGCTTTCGAACGCTTATATAAAATTTGAACACTCTCATGAATATTCACAAATATGGAAGAGAAAATTTATTAAAAGTTTTATGCGACGTTATTTTGAAGTTAATAATTTAGCAACAAAAGATGGATTCAAGTCGAAAGGTTAAAGGGTTATGATTTATTAGACTATCGATAAATGTTTGAAGCTACAAAAATATTTTCATCGAACAAATTAGACTCTGAGTGATAACACAAATAAACAATTTAGAAGTAGTTTAGAGAATGGATTGAATTGGCACACAGTTTAACTCATACTCAAAGGGAGGTTCGTGTCAAGTGGTGGATGAAATAAAACTCAAGTCTAAATTACGGGCGCTGTAAAATATGTCTTCTACATTGCATTAGATGATGGATTTATTCCCCAAATCCATAATATACTTCGTTTAGGTATTTCCAGATGAACCAAATCTCATAACCGTTCTTCTTTCCCAAAATGCTTAACAAATATTTTTATTGTTATTATTTATTTATTTATTTAGCCATGGGAACATTTCTTTCTAGAATCGTAGAACAGTAAATTATAATTGATATGCAGCAATTTATCATTCAGAAACGATAGCTGAACTCAGGGAGGGTGGGGAAAGGGGCAATGTTACAGCATTCTGCATCTTACAAACGGAAGGTCACATACTACATGTCTCTGTTGCCACTTATTTGAAGCAACCAGTTAATTTCGTAATAATAATGATCAACAAGTTTTCCTACCTAGCGCCCAAAACAGTTTACAGCCTAGTCTTTATTAAGAAATGCAGGTCTTTGAATTATTTTATTTTAAATATATTATAAAAAGACGCTTTTGAATATTTGGGACATGAAAGAAGTATTACTATTACAGGTATAGGATTCAATTCTGTCCCTAAACCACTGCTCTTGTTACTTAAAAGTACTTATTTTTGCAGGCGAAAAATTGTGAAAGTTTTCTTTTACAGCTCACCAGCAGCGGAACTGTAAAACCGCTGAATACTGGTAATTCCGTCTCGGCTCAAATCCTGACGAATGGTTTGATTGAATGCGAGTTTCCGTGGTTTTTCCCATGTGAAATGTGATTACGAGCTAGTTTTTCTTAAAAGGTTCTTCTGGAAGGTATCTTTGCTCGTACGCAAACGGTCATTAAGTGTTTTGCCATAATCTAATAATCCAATACAATCCTTTTTATAGGAAAGTAAATGCTAGTGCATTCCTTTAAAGGAATACTTTTTCTATTTTTTGTTTTTTTCAGTCACTTAACTGGCTCCGTCCCCATCTAATATCAGTATGAGGTGGGAAAGAAAGTAGTTTGATGTCACTGCACTTCGAGTTCTGGTTTATTTTGTAGTTTTAGTGTTTTATGAAATTTTTCAAAAATTTTGGGACTATTTACTATTAAGTTACAATATTATAAAGCATTATCTTAGTTGATCAATATTGTCAATTATTGTCGTAATCTGTAATAATAACGTCATTGTGAATTGTTTCAAAAAATAGCAATGTTGTGAACTATAATAAACATCCGACATTGTCAATTATAATCAACACTCTTCTTCTTTTGCTATTTTTCTGTGATTTTTTAAAGCCATCGAGGAACTTTTTTCTTTTCAAGGAGATCTTGAACAATTCTTTTACATTACACACTCCTTTTCCTCTTTTACATTCTAAACTTATAACACACCCTTTTGTCTATTTTTGTATATTAATGGACGTGTAGGCTTTGGAAAAAAGGATGACTTTATGCAGTACAGTCAGTTTTAAAGGAAAAAATTTCAACTTACTTTTCTCTCCCACTAAATCATAGAATCAAAGATTCTGCTTTCTATTTTAATATTTCTTAGTCGGTTTCTAAATATAATATATATTCTGGTGTTCCTTATTCTATGGCAATGGATAATGTCAAAAGTAAATACTTCTCGATTCTTGGTTACATATTACACTGACAAATCTTACGCTAACAATAATGAAAACTCTAGAATTAGAATTTTCTATAAAATACTTATTTTTAAATACTTATTACCGAAAACTATTTTTACTACGGAGTAAAGGCTGTAAATATTGTTTAGAACACTTGTTCTTCATAATCCTCCTCAAAGTCTGTGGGCTGCTCTGACTCTAAAGCAGCTATTCCAGGTATTGCAAATTAACACAAGCCTGTAACTGATCATAAAGTTAAGGAATGCCAGATTTTCTTGGGCTGGTTCTTCGAATGTCACAAGAAAACTAATTCCAGTGGATTTCCTCTCACTGCGGAATATCTCTTAAACAGGCTTTTCAAAGAAGTGAAATAAGCATAATTAAATATACATTACAGTTAAATACGCGCAAATGTTTAATTTATTAAGGAGAATGTTAAACTACGTACAGTTTTTTGTTGATTTCTCCTTAAATTTTCGTTTTATTTTCGCTACATTTAAATAAGGTAGAAGATAGTAATTAATGACTGCAGAAAAATCGATCTCTTATTTGGTTATTTATTGTGTAAATTCGATAGTCATGGATTCTATAAAATAGATCTTCCATACCAAATTGGATTCTTAAGTAATTTATAAGAAACATTCAACACTAGGTTTATATAAAAAAAACCTTTTGTACTAGCGTGTCACAACCATTTTCTATTAATTTTGATAATGATAAGCATATTTTTTTTAATTTCCGAGGAAACGTGTAACAATTTCTTAATTAAATAGAATAAAATTAGAATTTTTTTTACCATTTGTGGCCTATAAGCTGATGGGTATTGAGAAATAAGTATTTTCTTGCGAGAAGTACAAGACATTAGTAATTTGCTTGTCAAATTTAGCGATATTTATTTATTGCTTTTACATTGATTATAATAGTATTAATTCAAGAAGTAAAAGTGTTTTCAAGTTTTTATGTGAACCGAATTCCACAAACTCTTTGATTACATTTTTAAGAGTGTATCTGATATATTTTTAAGATAAACAGTACTGCTCATTAATTTATGAAAACCTGGCTTTTAATTATGGAAAGAAATATTATTCACTGAAAATACATTCGGCCGTTTTTCCTAATTGAATATAATAAGTTAGGTAGCATTTAAAGAAATCATACTTCGTTTTTAAGTTTTTTTCTAATGGATGTAATGCAGAGTTTAAATACTAATAATTGACAAAAGATGATTAAGCAACCTCACTTCAGAAGTAAGTAATTCTTCAGAAGGAAATTAGTAGAATACTTACATCTGACAATGAGAGATTATTTGTATATCTCTCATATTGCATTAAGCAATTTAACTTTCTTAAACACAAAACAAAGATATAATTTTTGTAAATTTCAGTTTTGAAATTGTTTTATTACTTACCTTCTATCATTAACATGCCTCTAATCTACTGGATATTTTTTAAGATGGAACCAATTAGATGTTGGAATCGTTATTCTTTCCGTAATTGGTATCGTTCTGGAAGAAATGGAATCTGAAGTGATACCCATTAATCCGACAATCATACGTGTCATGAGAGTTTTAAGAATAGCAAGAGGTAAGTTGCTTCGTAGTTGGGTAATTGTAACAAATATTCGTTTGGTTTTAGCACCAGAATTTTACTCCTTTTTTTTTAACCATTTTCAAGTTTACTAAATCCTGCAATAGAAACTTACCATGCATTATTCTTCAGGAAATGGTATATTAACTCCCAAATCAGAAATAACAGAATTATTTAGAAAATAATAGATACTAACTCAGAAAAGGAATATTTTATGAAGGCTTATAAGCAGCGTTCCAAAGTAATTTTGCTCATTAAGAATAAAAATAAATCTATTTTCTAATGAAGTACAAAAGAAAACAATTCCATTACAGTTCCCCTGCTATAAAAGAAAAACAAATCTTAAGAGATATGAGAGTTAAATTACCAAACTTCAACGTTTTTTTTTTTTTTTTTTTTTTCATTTCTAATGAAATGGATTCGCTTTTATAGTTTTCTTTTAAAATTATTCTGGTAGAAGACTTCTGATCCTAAAAGACTGTGTCCTTCAAAGTGTAAATAAAGGTGATATATTCTGTTGTAGTGTAAAATCGAAATAAGAGTTATTGAGTTTTATATATCGTTATAACTCTTAGTTATATATTAGAAGTAATATGTATTTATCATTATGTTTTATATAATCGAATACCTTAATTTGAAATAAAGTTGAAGGAGTAAATCTTTGTCTAAATGACACGTAAATGTAACCATTTTAAATTTACTCACTTTTGATTTTTAATGCAATTGTGATAACTGAAGGACAATTTCTAAAATCTGATTTGCATCATACTGGTTCAAGGCAGAGAGTTTCATTATAGTCTTTTAATACTGTAAGACGAAGTAATAAATGCCCTCTGATAGTGTAGATTGAACTATGTTATTCAAATATAGATTGAACTTGTTATAGATTTTTTCAATCTGTTCAGTTCTTGAAAAAACATTTTTAAAGTATCACAAACTGATTTAAACCAGCATGAGAAACATGAAATATATGATCTTTCCTTCTCTTCACTTTCAGTCTTGAAATTGCTCAAAATGGCTAAAGGGATACGAGCTCTCCTCGATACTGTGATGCAAGCATTGCCACAAGTGGGGAATCTAGGATTGTTATTTTTTCTTCTTTTTTTTATATTTGCTGCCTTAGGAGTTGAGTTGTTTGGACGCCTGGGTAAGTAGAAATGTTTTGCCAGAGGTATCCTTTAAATGCTAACTGAATTACTAGTGGGTTTTCATTATCATTTTATAAAGAAAACATCTAAATTAATATACAAACTTAAGTTTCAAATACTCTTTTTCCCTAGAAAACACTAACAGATACTAATAAGTAATATTACTTTCCATTAATGAACTAGATTAAATGCTAATATTTTAAATTCTTAATGTACCATCATAAAGCATCTGATAAGTACCATAAGAAAGTATCTGATTTTTTATTTATGTTATCTGATGTAAAATAATAATCAGAAAATAAAAATCAAAAATCCCTTATAAATTAAATTAACTGTATACTAGCTTAATATTATTTTACTGAAAGCTAACTTGCGGAGAAGAAATATGACGAATATCCTCTAGAAGTTACACTAATATATGATTCTTATCTACCGACAACATTTGATTTCTTAATATTAAAATTTAACAACTTTTCAAAATCATTTGTTATTTTCTCTGCTTATATGTTGTGATATCTATGGGCAGGTAATAATCAGCTTTGGATACAATTAAGCGGTACGTTTAAGTAAACGGATAGAGAATAAAAGGTAAAGAGTTTATAAATTCAATTCAACTCTTTCATCAAAAGTAAAAAGATTTTCTTTCGCTCTGTCTGGTGATAGAAAAGTCGCTTTAAAGCTCCTGTCTAGGTTTTTTGTAAAATTCCTCGTAAATCTATTTAATAATACATATATAAATTTCATTTATACTAATATTTTTCACGTGTAATGTAGTCTTATTATGCCAGAAACTTCTATCTATCAGGAAAACTAATGTACTTACGAAATTTGTTCTGATATTTTCTTTATAGAATGTACTGATGAATATCCATGCCAGGGTCTGGGCGAACATGCTCATTTCCGTAACTTCGGAATGGCTTTCCTCACATTATTTCGAGTCGCCACTGGAGATAACTGGAATGGGATTATGAAAGTAATGATTTAATATATAATTTTTACGTAAAACTAAGCATATTTAAATATTATTCTGTTTCATTGATTCCGGCTTCTTTTTCTATGCATGGGTAAGGGAGAAAGTTTTCGGTCCAAAAATTTGATAGCGAGCTTACAGTGAATATATTATGGTCCTTACAACACGTTTTTATTGCTTTTATAATAACGTCTTTTTGTCTATCTGTATGTGTGTGATGAATGTTTCGTCGAAAGTAACTTTTATATCAAACTTCGAAAATTTATGTTTTCCATATTTAAGCTTTCTACAAAGAGTTGATTAGAGTTTGAATAAAATTGGACAACCGGAATTGATATTTTACATGAAATCCCTAACAGTCTTTAATAGACCACCGGATGAGTTCCTTTGCTTAAAGCCCATAATAGTTTTTATGAAAACTAGTGTTAAAATATAACCCAAAAAGTACTAGTTTAAGTTTTTAAGACTTTGTTATCAATGGGAACAAAATATTAAATTTTGGCTAAAATTGATATACCGGAAGCGATACTTAAATAAATAAAAAGCTTAAGAAATATCCAGAGCTTCATATAAATCTCTGATCAGACTTTCGCCAATATATATACATTATTAAATAATGCAAAACTTCTCAAATTTGTTAAAAAGAGGTATGCGACTGAGAAAAACATATTACATTTGTAAACGTTAAACATATTCTTGTAATTATGCTAAATGCAACCAGTATAAGCTCATTATGAAGACGAGTTCTCTTTGTGAAGCAATTAAATGTATTAGCATCAATCCTCAATTTTGTATTCGTTTCCTTTTGTATTGAATTACTTTTCAATAAAAGGACGCTGTGCCCAAATGTTATTGCATTGTGGTAATTTTAAACAATAATATAGTAAATATAAGTAATATTGCTAAAATAAAAAAATATGGCAACAATTAACACACTTCTGAAATTCTAAAGATGAGCTGCTTTTACTTTGCGATTTTGTTAAATTTTATCTAACGTGAGTGGGAAAAAGTGATATTTAGTAAAAGCTAAAATGACAAATATAAAAGTTGGTCATTTTATTAAGAAAATTGATATCACAAACTAAGGAAAGACTGAAAAAGAAATGAATGGTAACATTTAACTCATTTAACTCTCCTTTAATGGTAACATTTAGCATTCATTTTATTTTAAAGAAAGGAATGGTAACATTTAACTGACAGAGAGTCAAGAATGCCGCATTAAAATATTATGCCGCATTAAAAAAAATTTGTAATTTTGTCATTGATTTGGGAATCCAAGATACTATATGTATAACCAGAGGATATATTACGGTCGATGCAATATCTTCAAATCAAAGCATGAGAACGGATGTAAACATGATCATGTATTATTTATTGTATGGGAGAACAAAATAATAAAACCTGACTCGTGTTTATAATTAGCACTGAGCCATAAAATTTGTCAACAAACTACATTTTGATTTACAAATGACCAACCGGAAGTGACAGTTTACTAAAACTTCATTGCTATTCCGCCAGTTCCATGCCTTCATATGGAATTGGCGGGAGATCATGTGCTGGCTACATGAGACTTTTTGTGAATGAAAAGAGTACAACAATATTGTTAGTGAACATTATTTAATTTCTTTAAAAAATAAAATATATCACTGCTTTATAATGTAAACCTTCTTGACGATATATCTGAGTATATCCATGTTCTATGGGATAAACAATAATAATAAAAGCAGTTTATGATACAGAATGTGCAACACTCGTGCTTACAAAATATAGCCTACAATTTTGGCTTAAATCCAGATAATGAAGTTTGACTTGACGAAGTACAAGACCCTCGTAATAATACGAGGGCTATTCAGACAGTAACGTTTCGCTGCTGCGTGGCGAGAGATGTTGCTAGCATCCCCATCTTGGTGTCAGAGTTGAATCCTTACGCAATCGGCTGTAATCGTTGGCGGTAAGTGTTGCCTGTGCTTTGTTCACTATGAACGTTTAAAGTCTGTGCGGCAATAGAAATTCCCGCCAGTTGTGAGGTGCGATCAGTGATTAGATTTTTGGTCGCAAAAGAACTTAGGCCAGTTGAAATTTATTGGGAACTTTGTACGGTGTATGGAAACGACGTAATGGGTGAAGCCTTAGTGAAACAATGGTGAATTATGTTTAAAAATGGCCGCACTAATGTTCACATCGAAGCGTGAAGTGGCCGGCCGAGCATTGTTAATGCTGAACTAGTTGAGAAAATCGATAAAAAGATTCGCGAAAATCGCCGCTTCACAATTTCGGAGCTCTCCCTAGAGTTTCCTCAAATTTCATGAACTTTGTTGTTTTGTGTTGTGACGCAAGATCTAGGCTATCACAAGTTTTGTGCCAGATGGGTACTGAAACTCTTGTCAGATGACCACAAAAAGCAGCGCATGGCAGCAGCTTTGACATTTCTCGAGGCGCACCACAAACATGATGAATCACTTCGTGATCGTGTCGTAACAGGAGACGAGACTTGGGTAAAGTTCGTCACTTGTGGGACAAAACAACAGTCTATGGAGTAGATCACAAAGTTCTCCCAGAAAACCAAGGAAATGTTTGCAAACACTGTCATCAAGAAAGATCATGGTAACTGTTTTCTGTGACAGAGAAGGTGTGCTTCTGGTGGATTACCTCAAACATAGTGGAACAATAAATAGGGAGAGATATTATGAAACATTAAAGAAAGTAGGTAGAGCGATACAAAACAAGCTTCAAGGAAAGTTGAGTTCCAAGGTTTTTTTTCATTCATGACAACGCACGCCCCCACACAGTCATTCAAACTCGACGGCTCTTGGATGGTTTCGAATGGGAGTTATTTGGTTATCCACCTTACAGTCTAGACCTTACTCCTAGCGATTTCCACTTGTTTTCGCGCATGAACACCTGGCTTGCAATACAGCGCTTTGACAATGACGAGGAACTGCATGCAGGCATTCGTGTATGGTTGAAGTCTCAGGCGGCAACATTTTAAGAAGCTTCTGTACCATTATGATAAGTGTCTTAATTTATAAGGAGATTGCGTAGCAAAATAGCTGAATAGTGTGTCTTTCAAATTTAAGTAATGAAATATTTTTACTTTCATTTTTTTGAAATTCTAAAACGTAAGTTCTGAATAGCCTGCGCAAGTTAGCCTAACGGCTAAACAAGTAACGCGCAAGTTGGCTGTGACCTAAAGATCGGCGTAGTAAGCCTAATAGTGAGAACGTGACCTTTAGCAGGCAGAACATACATTCTACCCTCCAAAACTATTCTCTAAATACTACCTTTTTTCTATATAATTTGAATATCACGCTAGCTAGAATTTTACATTCTGACAGGAAAATAAAAATGAGGAGGATAGGAAAGCGGTGATATCTTACAAGATTAGATAGGAAAAAGGTTAAACTACCTATGAAAATTGGCGAAATGTATACAAAACTCGCAGGACATATTTAAAAAATTTAAGTGTCTCCTTTTCTGATTGCGAAGGCCGATTAACCTTCGGAAGCCATCTCATTCCTTCTATTGCTGATTTCTATATACGTTATTATAAATGCAAATTATTTAAAATACTGGATAATTCTCTTTTGAATTCACTATATTAGTGATAGATTTAGATTTTCTCGATCTGATGGCGATAAAAAGGGTTTAAATAAAGATTTCTAGACTGTAGAATGAGTTGGTCTTTCCATATAGTTCATTGTATAGAACAGGAATCATCTAACTGTATGCTTTTTCTCGACATTCTACGCAATTCTTGACGTAGGCAAGAAATGTAATTTTAGAATTACTGCGTTTCCTAAGTCTTCCTCAACTTGCCTTCCTCTTAAAGATGTTCTGCTAAACAAAAAATATGGCATTTATCCTCGTTTGCGTATTTTTAAAGCCCCTCTCCATGTTCACCAATGATTAAGAGCTGATGCTGCTGTTGGAAAATTTTTTTATCCCATATATGATCCCCACTTATTCAGAACTTTTCACAGATAACCATATTTCATACTGTTGGTTTTGCTTATCAACATGAATGTCTGGGGAGCGCAAATCAGGGAGGCATTAACGCAGAAAATGATTTAAAGAAATATTGTATAGTCATCCCATATGTAGGAAAATGTTCAAGGAAAACCGACCCGATACAAGAGGCTATAAAATTCATTTCAAAATTTTATTCATAGAAATAAAAAGAAAAACTAACTTTAATAAATCGCAGGAAAATGAAAAGCCTACAATTATCGCTCGAAATAAATACAGTCAGTTATTTGTATCTCCTAATAATGCAGTAAGATCAGATTTTTCCTTTTATATTTGGAAGTTATATCTATTAGTAACAGATTAAAATTAATAAATACAATTAAAATTTGTTATTTCTAACAAATTAAAGTTTGTTTTTTCTAAATAATTTTAAAATAATATTTCAGAAAATACGGGACTTAAATAATGTGCTAAATTCCTTTGGAGTTAACATTTCTAGTACAGCAAAGATAAATTGCAGCTTTGTTGAAAAACATGTTTTTTTAATTGCTTGAGATTAAAGAATTTTAAAAAACATTTGTTTCCAAGGACTTGAAATGTAAATCTGGATGTTGCTGAAGAAATGAAAAGAGAGAACAGTTTAAGGAACAAATTTGTATTCAATAAAGCAGTATTTAATCAAGTGATTAAGCATGTATATTTTAAAATGTTACTTCTGTTTTCAACGTCATACACGAATTACATGTTCTGAAATAAAAGTAGTGATGGTGGTGTATTTAATTATGGCAAAGCACAATAGGGCTATCTGCCTAAGGGGAGGGATGCTTTCGTTGAGACTTTCTAAGGAGAACTGGCTCGTATACACGTTACACATGGGGAAAACCACGAAAACGCCCATGCAGCCGGCCCGTTCGCGGGATTAGAACTTAGGACCGAACTACCAGTGTTCAACGACTTTACCGCTCGGCCGCTGGTGGGCCTAAAAGTAGTGAAGTCGAAAGAAAGAAACAGACTTAATGAGTTTAAGAGAAGTAGGG